CTAATTTTTGTGTATCTTCTCCAAGCAAGGTTTGCTTCCAGAACACATTGCTTGAGTTTTAATGTTTTGGTACACAGAAACAGAATGTGGCTATTGTCGTCTGAGTGTCCTAACAGTGAAAATTAAAGCATTTCCATGTGCCAAAATTAAATATCTGCGATTAAAGATGTTCTGTTTCTCAGCTATATGTTTTCAATGCTAACTAGTTCATGAAAATAAAACATTGAAGGTATATTAACATATGGTGGAGTTGAGACACTCCAGTTCTGGCTGAGAAATATAAGGCATGAATTTATGCAGCTCTTTACCTGTTTCACACAGTACCACTCTCTCTTCCCTTCAGGTGGTGCCTCTATTGTTACATTTGTTTGACTTGATGATCTTAAGGGTCCTTTTGAATCTAAATGCTTCTGTGATATGTTGGTGCAGGTGTATCCTTGCAGGTGTATTTCAGCTATGTTGCTGAAATATGTTGTAGGAAATTGTTTAGATAGGAAAAAAACAGAAAAGGTACTTTTTTTCACCCCACAAATATTTTCTTAGCATTTAACATTTTTCTTTATAATTTATGAAGTTTCTTTGCACTGCAGTGGCTGGTTAGGTACATGATGTGCATTGCATTTGTAGCTCAGCCACTGCTGTTGCTTCTGGCCAAGCCATCTCACCTTGCTGGGCTTCCTCCCTGCAGGCCTCTGGGAGAGCATGAAGCACCATGACAGATGAAGTGTTTTGTTGTCTAACAGTCTGTTCACATTTCATCTCTTCCATCTGCAGTAAGTGGTAACATTGTTTAATTTGGAGATGGATGTAGAAAACAAGAGGTGATTTTTTTTGCACACGCTCTGTATACTTTTCTTTAAAAAGGAGTTTCTGAGCTGGTTTATTCTGATAGAAATCAAATTTCTATCAGGGATGGAGCAGTGAGAATTTTTAATAAATATCATAATGATTTTCACACAGCCTCTCCAGCTAACAAATGTTTCAGTCTCTATCAAAAGAATAATGCACAGAGTGTCTTTTTTTCTTCCCTGAAAGATATAGGTTCAAGGATATTTGTTCACTTGTTAACACAAAAAACAAAAATTAAAAAATCGCTACTCTTTCAGTAACAAATATTTTCTGTAAAGGGAAGTGAGCTCTTTTGCAGATAACATGAGGACTAAGGGAACTGCTTGGGCTCATCAGAAGAGCCTTTGGTGATTACTAGAGTTTGCACTGGGACTTGCTCAGTATCTCTTATGATAAAGCAGTCAGCCATGATTTAGGAGACATAGTTTAAGGGACAAAGTTCGCATTTAAATAATGGCTGTTGGTAGCTCTGAAGGAGCTGTTACTGGCATACTCTGAATAAACAGCATTTTAAAGACTCACTTTAATAATTTTCAAAAAATCTCTTGATGTTTTTCTGCTCTAGATCATGATGGCTAGTGGCTGGGTTCCTGCAAGATTCTTATGCCGAGACATTTTCAGATCTTTCCTTTTCTTTTGGTTAGGACCATTCTGAAAAATACCAGTCTCCTGGCATGAACAGAGCAAGTACTTGCTTGTGGCATCAGAATTAAACAATTCAGAGCCTGAGCCTGAGCTCCCCAGGTGAAGTGAGGTATGGGGGGGCCAGACCCCCCTCCCAGCTCCCCATTTCATGGGTAGGGTTTGTGGGGAATGGCTCTGGCTTTGGCTTGCCAGGTTAAGTTTGGCTGCATCTCCACCATGGGCAGTCAGTCTCCATGCAACAGCAGAGAGATGGAGATGATGGATAGAGCTGCTGGCTCTCTGTGTCACTCTTGGGCAAGACAGGCTTCTGAGAACTTGATTTCAACATCCCTGTCTGGGTGAAGGGGAGTGCCTATGTGTAAGGGAGACAGTGCCTACCAGAAGAGCAACCACATGTCAAAATGCAATGATTGATGTATTTCTGGGGAAAAAATAACCTGAAAAGGTGTTAAGCTTGTTGGAGGTGGGCTGTGATGTCAAACTGCCTATAGCATCCCCAGTGGGGACATTTATCAGCATAGGGTTTGCTCTCTGTGCTGATTTCCTAGAAAGACTTTTATTACTTTATTTAAATCTTGCTTGCATTTTGCTGCCAGATGCCCTTACTGCAGTGTTATTGATTAGCTTATGCAACATGATAGATGTCAGTCTGCTGCCACCAAAAAGAGCTCAGTCTGTGTCACAGTTTGTGGCTGGCTCTTGTGGAGACAGTGAGGGATTTAGTGAAAACCTCTCCAAAGCCTGCAGTGGAGCTGGAGAGTGGGCACTGCCCAGCGATCCAAGGCACAAATGGGGCTGCAAGCAATGCTGTCCAACAGATAAAAGTTTTTAGAAGCTGATGCAGTCCTAAAACGGAGATTAAAGACCACAGAAATTATTTAAAACTCCCTTTGAAGTACTCAATAGCCTATAGACTATATTGCTTAAGACTATAGGCAGAAAAAAGACATAATTCCTTTTTGTATCTCCAGGATCCCAGGATGCCCGTGAGGGCAAATATTGTTGTGGAGAGAGGTTGGGAGTCTGTGGCAGCAGGCAGCTGGACTGTATGCCTGCAGATGTGTGCAATTCATGCATGTCCACATCTGCCCAGGACCTGCTGGGCAGGCACAGCCCCACAGCCCCAGTGTGGCACAGCCTGGCTGAGCCATCCCTGCCAGCACCAAAATGTGATGAGGGGTTTTTAACGTTTGTTGGCAGAGTCAGCTGGAACATTTCAGGCTATGCCATTTGCTGTGTTTGCTTTATTTCTAGCTTGGAATATATGTCTATACAAACATATAAATCAAAGCCAATTTGAAACTTATTGTTCAAAACCCAAATTAGCACAAATCTGACATTATTTTGCCACCAGAAATTAAAATTAGTTGTTTCAAATGCCAGATTGAAACCACTCAACAGACTGACATGTAAAAGAAGACTATTTTGATGGCAGAGGCTCAGCTTTCCTTCTAGAGTAAATTGTATCAGTACAAAAAATACATCAGTAATGCCGCTGACATACTTGAGGCCATGCCACCCAGAAGGACTTTGACAGCTGCAAGGAGTGAACCTATGTGAATTTCATGAAGTTCAGCAAGGCCAAGTATAAGGTCCCACACCTGGGTCAGGGCAATCCCAAGAACAAATACAGGCAGGGAATGGACTGAGAGCAGCCCTGAGGAAAAGGACTTGGGGCTCTTTGTGGATAAGCAACTTGACATGACCCAGCTTGCAGCCCAGAAAGACAACCACAGCCTGGGCTGCATCCAAAGCAGTGCAGGCTGCAGGGAGAGGGAGGTGATCCTGTCCTTCTGCTTTGCTTTAATGAGACCCCACCTGCAGTGCTGCATCCAGCTCCGGGTTCCCCAGCACAGGAAAGACATGGATCTGTTGGAGCAACTACAGAGGATGGGCATGAAGATGATCAGGTATTTAAACTGAAAGAGGGCAGTCTTAGATTGGTTTTACGGAAGGAATTATTTACAATAACGATGGTCAGCCTCTGCAACACATTGACCAGAGAAATTGTGGATACCCCATTCCTGGAAGTGTTCAGTGTCATTTTGGTTGGAGCTCTGAGCAATCTGGTCTAGTGAAAGGTGTCCCTGTCCATGGCAGGGGGTTGGACCAGATGACTTCTAGAGGTGCCTTCCAACCCAAACCATTCTACATTTTTTCTAGAAAATACCTGTTTACTGGATGCTCTTATTTAGTACCTGTGCTGTCTTTCAAACACTTAAAGCCCATGTATACTTGTGGGCTTTGCAATGGTTTCTTTTGCAGGGAGGTTTTTGACATGTGCAGGCTGCAGGGAGTGAATGGTGGGGCTTTTTCTTTCCTCCCTGTGTCTCACAATTCAGTACACACTAACTGTGAGCTCTGAGCACTGGAGTCCTCCAGGCAAGGGTAAGAACATTTTGAAGTTTTTCTTTCTTTCTACCCTTCACTGAGCATTATTCAGCATGATTTCCACAGTCCTTTTGCTGTGCTGCTAGCCCAGCAGTCAGCTTTTCCTCCTCACTGAGCTCAGTGGGAGTTCATACAGAAGTTTATTAGTCTGAAAATTAGCCCTGAAAGACACAGAGCTGCCAGAATACCACTACAACCACTGTGTCTCAAATCAGTGTGGTCCCTGCCACAAATCACCTCAGTTTTCCCACCATATAGCCATCTATCTTGCTAGATCTGGCTTCTACCTAGCTGAAAGTGGGATCTGTTTTAAGTATAGGCAGGCTTAGGTGCTGCTTCTAACCTAGCAGGAGTGAGGTCCAGCACACACCTGCTCCTGATGGGAGTAGTTGTGATGGTGCCTCAGATAACCTTGAAAATGGTGGTGTACAAGTTCTTTTCCAACATGGAAAACAACAAGCAGTGAATCCCTTTGAATTATTTATTTTTAAATTTAGTTTGTATACACTGACTGTTTTTATCAGTGATTCATCTGCAATGAAAGGTTGCATCGTAGCATCAGAGAAGTATAGCTGGTAGCAGGGGGAAAGAAGATAGAACTCCAGCTGCCTTGGCATCTGGTGAGATGGATGTAGCATTTCAGGACTATCCTGGATATATAGCAATCAGATATTTTAATTAAAAAGATAATTACAGTCACATTTTTTTCTTTTATATTGCATGGATTCATGCCCACAGGTGCCTTTGTTGTGAATCTGAGGGATAGAATTTATTAAGAGCTTGGCTTTCAAATAAAAAATCTACAATATTGGATTAATTCCACAGCAAATTATTCCCTTTGGAGCTGGGGGATACATCATGCTCTTTCCATGATTTCCATCAGGTTTAGAAGGGATGGCACCTTGGGTGACCTGGAGAAATCCCAGGAACTCTCTCTCTCCACTAAAAAATCCCTCAAACATTCACCAAACATACATGAGGAGGCTCACAGCCTCCCTGCAAAAAAAGAAAATAATTTTATATTTCTTCCCAGTCTCAGATCACTGTTGCTTGGATCCAAATCTCGTTTCAGACCAACATGGGAAACAACTCCATCACTATCACCAAAGGAAGTATGTTGCAAAAGCCTCAGAGTAGTTTTTATTTAAAATGTTACTATCATAAAATTCCAGACTATGAAATGAAGACCTTGGATTCCCATTCAAACATTATCCATCCCCCTTTTTAAAATATATTGATACATAATCACAGAACATAAAACATGCTGCAGTGATACAAATATATTTTCGATACAGAAAGTACAGTACATTATAAACCATGAAAACAAATTGAGGCACTAGACTGAACATCAGTTCTGTTCTGCACTAGCTGTGAAGCTGATAGACTCGCTTTCAATGAACAAAAGAACACTTGCTTGTTTAGTAAACATAACTTTACAGGTCATATCAAATAATGTGCTTTGTTGTGAGACATCACCAGGGTTGCTGGTCCTTTCAGAACCACAACACACCTACACAACATGTGTCACTGCCACAATATGAAAAATAATAATTTTATTGAATGTACAACTCAAAAAAACCCCAAACCTCTTCAGTTATTAAATAAATAATTCTTTCATACAGTGGTTAGTTTATATTACACAGCATTGGCCATTAGGACAAATGAAGTTTAATAAATAATGCACGGGAATATCTCATTTACGCCTCCGTTCGTAATTCTGTGCTACGCTCCCTTCAGAGGACCCTGCAAAAAATGAAGCAGATTGAAGCACAAGGTACAGCCTTGCATGAACACCAGCAAGCACAAGAAGTGTCAGAGACCTGCAGCCAGCTGGCACCATCCCTGAGCTGCTTTGATTTGGTTTTACCTCAGACTACACTGTCCTCCAGAAGGCTGAAGGTTTTCCCACCTCTCCTCTGCTGAGCTGCTTGAAGCACCATTAACTCAGAGCCCCTTCACCTCCCAGTAATTCATCTAACTGATGGGATCTAAGCATTCAGGTCAACGTGTGGTAGAGGGTTTCTCCACAGACATATTCCTGTGCAGTCATTCCTGTGCAGTCAGCTCTTTGCCAGCTCTTTGAAACTCTCCCTGTTCACAAGCCCTGCACACAGGGATAATTTTACTGTACACTGCAGCAGGAGCCAAGCTCCTCACATGTACTCAGACAACCATGCTGACAAGCTGCAGGCTAAAATAGTCTCAACTAACATTTTTAATGTTTAGTAATGGTAGATCTCTCCTCCTTGCTTATTTAAAATGAGAGTGAAATCCAGAAAGCCCTTCTTGAGTGAGGCTGTCCCCAAACCAGAGACTGAGACATCAGCGTCCCTTTACCCTGCTTTAGCACCTGAGGCTGTAAATCAGCAACATGCTGACACCCAGAGGGACAGCAGGAACTCCTGCCCAATACCAGGGAGCTCAGGGGCTTTTTGCAGAAGAAAACCACAGCATGGGGTAATGGTCCTACCCGGTTAAATATCCTCCAAAAGGGAGAAGCGAGGGTAATCCTAACACTTACTATTCCTGATCTTGCTTTGATTACACAGTCCTTAGGACCTATCTTCTGTAGTGGAGCAGAAAAAACTTCTCACCATTTCCCCCTCAAGGAATCAGGCAGAAAAGCAGTGAATTCTAGTTTTACCTGTCAGACAGGTGTTACATGGCCCAACAGAGTAAAACGTCATTATTCCCTTTTGTTAGAAATACCACATAACAGTACCCTGACTATACCAGCGATTTTGAAATTAGGGCAATGAAATCTTTGCATTTTTAAAAAACACTTTCTGTATTTTACATTCACACATTAATGTAAATGTAATCCCAGTGGAAACCAAACCCAATTTATTACTTACAGGCTATTTACTTTTGTGATAGCAGATATATTTACAGGTATTATGCATTTAATAGCTATTGCCACTGTAGAAAATTGTACAAAATTATTCATGATATGTAGCAATTTGCAAAATAATGCAGAGAGCAATATTACCAGTCTTGAAGGGGGTTTAATTGAAAATAGAAGTTACTGACAACCATAATTGCGGAATATAGATCACAGCATGTATCCACATAATATGAAGGTGTCAGCTAGTAATTTAACTTTTATCATCCATTTAACAAAACAGTGAGAATATTTCAGAGACATGAAATACACATTTGGTTTTTTATTTTTTTATCTCTTATGCTGGAGAATCAACTGATACTTTATGGTTCACAGTGAGGGATTTCTTCAGTACAGCCCTATAGCACAGGGAAGGAAGGTAGAGCTGTGGGGAGTCTCCAGTTTCCCACAGTGGTTCTGCATGCGAGGGGAGAGGAGAATTCTGCCCTGTATGGATGCTATGGGAAAATAAATTCACAGTATCCATTCAGAGTTTAAAATGTTTTAGGTGAAGTCAAAAGCTGAAAGAGACTCTGAAAGTTTAACAGCCTGATCTGCAGAATGAGGTGGTGTTAATGGCAAAGTTCTATTCCCTCACCTTCTGCTCCAAATATTAGGAATAAAGATCTCCAGAGAAGATATCCCTTTACCTGATGAGATCTGGATTTAGACCACAAGTTAAGTGACCCTTGCATTTTCAGCGTCCAAATTTTTCTTGATATGTCAGTAAAATTTAGGTTTTTTTCTTTTATTAGCACCTTGGGGATTAGAAGAATATGCAAGGACAGGGCAGCAATGAAATTTCTCTGAGGAATTCTACCTGAGCTTGCCTGCAGCTTTCCAGCCTGGTCATTTCAAGCATTGAAGTGAAGTGAAAAGTCTTGGCTAGCAAAGAAAATCCTGATTCTTTTTCAGAGAACTCTGGATCTACACTACATAAAAACTGCTTCTTCCATCCGCTGTGAGAGAACAAAGAGGCAACGGAATGAAGAGGCTGTACACCACCAAGTATCAAATTTAGTCAAATACATACCAGAATTTAAAGATCTTTTGCCCATAAGTCCAACAAAGGAGTCTGTTTTATGCCCTGAAAAAATATATTTAGGGGTGTTTTAATACATTTTAACTAGGAAGGTTTTTAAAATAACAGGTTCTTGCAAGGAAAGAAGACAGGGTCCGAAACTGTTTGTTTATATCACAGACCAGTTGTTCATGTCACTCTCAGACACCAGAGAAGGAGCAGCAGTCTGACTAATCAGACTGAACAGGATAGACCAAGGCACAGGCCAGTTATTGGACATCTTCTCATTAGCTTAGATAGACCTTTGCTTTTTTAATTTTTTTTAAAGTATAATGGAAAAACAATGGCCACTAACAGTACAAATTTTATTTCTCTCCCAGTACAATTCCTGCTGATCTGAGCAAATGCACAAGAAGGCAGTGTCTTGGTATAGCCTGCATCTGTGTGATGCATCTCTTCTACCTGTTGTTGTTTTATTTCTGTAATGTGGAAGAAAATCCTCCCTCATAGGTCAGGTGGAGCCCTTACTGAAGAGGGAGCCAATGGGACTCTATGTCTGGACACGTCCTAGCTAGACAGTCTGGCTCTATTTTTGGAATATTTATAAGTTCAGGTATTACCTTCCTGTCCCATTAGTAATTCTCAAGACACTGGAAGTGCAGAGGATAAATTACTCCAAGTTTAGGCCTACAGTACATATCAGGTTATAGTAGTAGCTATAGTTTCAGATAAGAAATGAAAATAAACTGTTCTTCTTTATCTAAACTGACTTTTGAGACAGACAAGAAGTCTCTCTTTGGAAAGAATTTTGCTTGGTGAATTCATACACAAAGCAGGATACTCAGACCTCACATGTATTAATTCAAGCTGAAGCAGTTTCAGAAAACTATAATTTTTTTACTTTAGTCAGCAGCTAATTTGGCACGAGCTTTGTATCAGACTCTTTATTTGGTCTTCTAATACTAGAGAAAGCATCTTGTGGATAATAGAACACTGGGACACTTGCTGGCCTCTGTGGACAGAGGAGGTTTCACAGATTCTGTGATATATAAGATCATGTTTACTTAATAAAAATCTTACAGTTTTTCTTTAAACATCATGAGATAATGTCAGAAAATAAATCTATCACTGTGCAGAGCAAGGTAACACCCCAGTGCTGATACCATCTCCTGCTTGGTGTTACACAGAAGCAGAGCAAGGCACACTTATTAATGGGGCAAGATATGGCTTTTCATATGGCAGCACATCATCAATCAGCCCCTCCTGTGAGCAGGAGTCTGATTCTCAGACAATGCTGGAAGCACAGATACAGCATCTCGCATGTGAGGACATGGGTGCTCCCATGAAAGCATTCTTGGGGACTTGGGAATTCATTATTCTAATTTTCCAGATTTTGCCATCTTAATTGCTCCTCTCAGAGTCTGGCAGTAAGCCTGCCTTGCCAACGAGAAAGGCTTACAAAATCCCCCCTTTGGGAAATAAGAGAGAGCTGCAACATCCGCACATTAATATGGATTGAAATCTCAAAGCTCGCAGCAGCTCAGATGAGATACAGGCTCACAGTGGCACTGAAGGGGAGGTTTCAATTCTTTAACAGATCATTTATCCACCAGTGGTGCTGCCAGTCCCTAGCTGAAATCAGTCACCTTCTAAACAATCCTGTCAAATATACTATTCTCTATTAGAATATCTTCTAATGATTGCTTAAAAGATTGGGTTTTTTTTAAACTTACTTTTATGAGAGATCTGGCCATATCCTGATTGGAAGAGGAAAGGAAAGAGAAAAAAGACAAAAAAGAGTTGTTAGAAAAGGATTGGCATATACATACGATGCTACTGCAATGCTTTGAAAAATCAAATACAAAAGCTAACCTACACATATTCCACTTAAGGAAATTAGGGAGGTGATTTACAACTGCATTTCTCTTCAAAGAGACTAAAAAACTTGTTTCAGCTTGACCCACACAATACAGATTAGTTTAGCTCCAATTTCTTAGATCAATTATTGGTTCAGTTAACACGTAGAAAATGTGACAATAATTGTATACTGAACCAATTTGGTGATTCAGTGTCATGTATGCTGACCTATGAACTACCATGCTATCCCTTACTGGGAATTATGTGCTGTAACGGGTACACGCATAAGATTTTAAAGCCCTCTCTTCCAATCAGTGAGTTTATCTCATATAAAACTTAAAAGAAACACCAAACAAAAAAGCCCAAACCTAAAGCACCCTCATGGCAGCCTATGGAGCAGATGTAACACATTAACCCCGAGCCATAACCGTGTAAGGTTTGGGCAGGCGCTGGAGAAGAGGCGTGCGGAGCGGCGTGAGCAGCAGCCAGCCCCCCGCCCGGCTCACCGGCATCCCGCTTGCCCATGAGGCCGAAGAACTGCTGGGGCCGGGGTCTGCGGGCCATCCTCTGCAGGAAGTGCTCCAGGGGCAGCGGCAGCTCCTCCTGCGGGGCGACAGCGGGCGGCGCTCAGTGCGGACCCCCCCATTCGGTCCCGCCCGGGGCAGCGCCCGCACAGAGCCCCAGGCTCCGACCCCTCGCTCCCCATCCCGCGGGGCCGCCCGGGCTCACCTTCGCCTGGTCACCGTCCGACCAGTCGGACCAGTAGCTGAGGTCGTCGGTGGTTCCCATCTCCTCGCCCAACGCCTGCGACGAGGCCAGGAGGAGCACGGCCAAAGCCAGCGGGAGCCTCATCGCCGCCTCGACGTCCTGCGGGGGCACAGGTTGGAGCTCTGGCAGCCGGGGGAGGGAGCGCACAGCCCCGCACACACCGGTACAGCCGCCCGGGCGCTGCTGGGCACACACCGCCTCGCACGTACAGCCGAGTTACACCGGCACCCCGCCCCGACTGCTGCACACCCCTCTGGACAGACGCACACCCCGCACCCTCACAGCGGCACACAGCTCGGTGTGCTCCCCAGCACACATACACACACAGCCAGCCGTGCCCCTCCACACACGCACATACAGAGAGGACATAAACACACCCTCACACGTCCACGCACTTCTAGGATTCACACCTTCCCAAATACACACACGCAGCCAGATACATCCCCCTCATACACTCATTCAGGTACACATGCATCCCCTTACGAACTCGTGCAAAGAGCTACACACCCTAAATGCTCACACTCACGTAGGGATGTAGCTGTCCACGCGCACAAACACAGAGACACGTGTGTCCAGAGGTGCACACTCATCCCTTTGCACATCCAGGCAGATACATAAGGACAGGCACAAAAACATGCCGGCACATCCAGAGGCACGCACGTGCGGCCACACAAGCGCGTATAGGTAACCCCCTCCCAGAAAGGCACACACATACAGAGCGGGACAAAAAAGTACACACGCACACTCCTCACAACCACGGTACAAGCGGACCCCTCGCACACGGGCACGGCCGGCCGGGCTCCCGCAGCGCACGCACCGTCTGCAGCGGGGAGGGCGGGCGCTGCTCTCCGAGCGCATTGGCCGGCCGCAGGAGCGCTCCCCACTTTATATACCTGGAGACGGGGAGGGCCGAGGCAGCCTCATTTGCCTAAGTGCAATTACCCCCGGTTTTATCGTCCCAGCCCCGTGACAGCCCCCGCCCCGGCGAGCAGCGCCCGCCCCCCGCTCCGGCGGCGCCTCTGGGCTCTGCCCGGGGCCAGGCAGTGCGGGCCGGCCGGGCGGCTCCCGCCGCTGCCCGTCCGCTCCCCCGCTGCCCCTTCGCTCCTCCCGCCGCAGCTCCGCGCCCTCGGGGCCGCCCCGCACCGTCCGCGGGCGAGCCGCGTCCCGGCGGCGGACGCGGGTGCGGACGCGGGGTGAGGGTGTGGATGCGGGATGAGGGATGCGGGATGCGGGATGCGGGATGCGGGATGCGGGATGCGGGATGCGGGATGCGGGATGAGGGTGCAGATGCAAGGGTGCAAATGCTGCTTTTCGCCCATGCCACCCCGCCCCGATTCCCCAGGGCCCGGAGAGCTGCTCTCCGCTGCGAGCGGCCCAGCCGGGAGGCAGAGAAGCGGGAAAAGGGAAGGGAGCCCCGGCGGCCCTTCAGAGGGGCAGTTCCTTCCCCTGGATCTGTCTCCCCCGTGCCGCTGCTCAGGTAGCCCCAGCCCACCGGGACGAAAAGTGAGGGATGCACGAAGCTGAGGAGGGCCTTGACCGGGCGGGTGCCAGGTGGGCACCCCAGGTCTGGTGTGTGTGTGCTCCTGCAGAGGGGCTGCTGCCGCCGGGAACAGCCGGCACCGCTGGGCTGGCTGCTGTAGAAGGCGAACGTCTGTACTGGAAAGAGAGCTGAGCCAGTCTCTCCAGCAGCACATCCCTGCCGGCGCCCTTCCCCTGTGACAGCTTTGCGCTGCTGCTGGCATTCGGCTCAGGTAATTGTTTAGGTTATTATCTCTTTCACAGTTACCCCATCTTATTTCTCCAAGGTCAACTGTGTATGAGGCTTCTCAGTTAACCTTGGTGGACCCTCAGCTCCTGTGTTATAAGCCTAAAACAGGCAGTCTGGACAGTTTAGTGGGAATTAACAATGATAAAGATATCTTTTGATAAAGAACGGGATGCTCAGGAGCTCCTTGGTACCACCACTCTGCTTGCTCCAGATTGTTACCATTAAGGTTACAGTGGTAAACCTTTTCTTTAGGGATAGTTCATTGGCATATAATTGTGGATCCAAGGGAGACTCAAAAACTTCTCTAAATAAAGACATGGTTAATATCAGGCCTCCCTGTTAACCAGAAAAGTTCTTCAGAACTCAAAGCACTACCCAGAACACAATCAGGTGAGACCCTTCCAGGTTCTGAGGGTATCTACACTTTGTCTGTAAGTTTACACTTAAATAAGAAAGACTGTGACCCAGTGAACTGGGGGTCACTCTGGTCAACATGGGCTGCTTGAGAGTGTGGTTTTAAAGAGTGGTTTGGAGGAGGGACTTCATGCAGCCCAAGCACCTGCAGTGGGCACCTCTGTTGAGACCTCCAGCATGGGTGGTGAGAATGCTCCTTGTTCTGGCTATCAACAAACTGGATAAAATGTTTATCAGCTCTGGAAACCTAAACCATTAGATTTTCATTCTGCAGCACTGCAGTATTCCCTTTGATGTGTGAACTTTGAATCTCTTGAAGAAAAATTGTTTTCTTGTGGTTTTGTTTTTTATTTTGTTTTTGTTTACTATAGTGACAACAGGGCACTGGTCAGATATATCAAACCATGCTTGCCAATTCTGCAAATGTTCCTGAAGCTCATGCCTCTCAGAAATCCTGAGAACTCCCAACTTTCTATGAAGTCAATTTCTATTACTTGGGAGTCCATGGAAAATACAAATTTGAACTGAAATATCCAATCTGTTCTAATTCTCTAATTCAACATTTTACCAAAATGGATGCAACCATAACTTGACCTATGAAATTGCAGGATTTTAATTTTTGAGAGACCAAGAGAAGAAAAATTTAAAAGGGGTCCTTTCCAGTCTTCAGAGACTTTCATGAATTCAAATACTTTATCTCAGACTTATCTAATAGTTTGGGTGGAAGTGAAAAACTGATTAATAGATCAAGCTCACTTTTCTCTTTCTCAATTTTAAAATAAATTGGCTGTTTAATCTTTCTTTGACCTGAAATAGCCAGACATTGCACTATGAATTTTCAGAAAGTGAGCAGATTTCTTAGCTAATGAGCAAAGCTGATTCCTAGGAAGCTTTTCTGAGTGCATTGTCTTAATGTGAAAAGGGAATAGAAGACAAATAAGAAGAAAGCTGAAGCTCCTGCCTTTGTGCTGCCCAGTCCCTGCCCTAGGGATGTACTAGAGCAGGGTAAAGTGCCCTTTGTGCACAAACAAAACCCCCCGTTTATTCACGAGGTTGCTCATAGATATAAAGCTGCTAATATCATGTCTGAGGAAGAGGCAGCTTTATAACTATGAGAACCTTGTGAATATATATGTGAGCTCAAAGGCAGGTACAAGGTGTCTGTGGTGAATATTCCTTCTCTACCCATGCTCAGGGCACAGACCCCACCCCTCTGTTACAGTTAGACTTCTCTTAGACTACTGTTAGATTTCTAACAACCAGAGTGAAGATTTTTGGTCATGCATCAAGACATCATTAGATTCAAATGACCCAAATAAGGGTTGGCAAGTGACAAATAAGTGTCCTGTGGAAGTGACAGAAAAAGCTGCCTTCAGAGTCCTTATCCAGACATTTCCTTAATAAGGATTAGGAACTGGACTAAAGACACTTGTTGTGGCTTGAATCTCAACACTAATGGAAAACTATTTGGGAAGCAATTGCCTGTGAAACACACCTCAGAGAATTGGTTTTGCAGTAGGCTTGATGCGATACCTCCTGTGTGATGATCCTTGTGAAATGTTTATTTGAATTTTCTGATGATGTTTTGGTTTCCAGTAAAAAAGTCTGATCTTTAGATGAAAAGTTACATTGGCTGCTATACCATTACCTAATGATTCTTATACCATTAACAAACAGCTAATATGTGATGGGAAAAGAGCAGATTAATGTGCCCATGTAAGATTCTGTGCAGAATGCAGATTTGAATTTTTTTAGAATGCACAATTTCAGAGCACTTCATGAAATGAATGCATCTATTATTGTTCTTCAGTGATCTTGTGCTATACAATTGCATACTGTATATTTAAACCTAGGACCTAATTCTTGTGTACATTGAGATAGTTTTTCATCACTTTACCAGGGACATTCAAATAACAGACAGCCCTAGAAGAGTTATTTTATGTAACTTCAAAAATTGGGCATGAGATGCAGTCTACCTGAGCAGAGTGATCATCTCTGTACATATACCAGACCTCAACTCTGATTTTGATTGTTACAAGAAGACTGGAAATGTTCTTATCCAAAGATAGAACTTCATAAACATTGCAAAGAGAGACTGTGATTGATGAATTCTTAAATTTTTCATAGGTATGTGTCTCCAGGGTAAATAGAATGATTTTGATTGCAGATGAGGGCTCTTTGTAACGCGGTGATTTATTTTGCCACCATAAGATTATTTATTTTCAACGCATCCAAGTGGCATTGAAAAAATTAGCAGAACTCACCATAGCATCCTATTTTCTAATTAAGTATAGACAGACTATTGAATTAATCTTTCACCTTTCTTGTATTTTAAATCTTGCATTACAAATTTGTCATCTTCAATTTTTCCTTTAATGAAGATTTACATTTTCAGAGCATATGCTCGTACATATAAATGCATATGAGGCATATGTGGTAATTATGCATCTCTCTCTCTCTCTCTCTGTCTTTCCTTCTCTTCATCTATAAAGAATCTGCTCTTATTCTTTTGTCTGTGAAATAAAACATTATAGGTTCAATTATATTGTGCTCACGGGCAGGCAAAGGGGGTAGCAGTGAGATTTGCATGCCACAGGAATGCCCTTTCCTGAGCAGGCACAGGCAGAAGCAAGGCTGATCTCACAGTTCCTGAATCATCTACTAAGAGCTGAAAATGCAATGTTGGTCTTTAATTCTCACTTTGAAAAGTTTACAGGTTTCCCTACTCTTCTTGTGCCTGTCATCTTTTATACTCCCATCACTGCTCTCCATCCCACCCACCCACTAGTATCATCACATCTTACCTAAAGTGAGCTTCCTTTACCCTGATCTGAGGGTCACTTTTGTCCACGCCAAGCTAGACATGAAGTTGGGATGTGGGACCAAATGGAAATAAATGTCAGGGTATTGAAAT